CAACGTGCGCTCACTGTGCAATAAAATGGACGAACTTCAGCTACTTCTCGGGAAAAACAGTGACTTTTCTTCAGCCTCTGTTTTATGCTTCACGGAGACGTGGCTGTGTGGATCGGTACCGGACTCTGCGCTGCAGCTGGCAGGCTTCCAACTCCTCAGAGCGGATCGTAACACGGAACTCTCAGGCAAAACAAAGGGTGGAGGTATCTGTTTTTATACCAACAGTAGCTGGTGCAATGATGTGACAGTGATCCAACAGCACTGCTCTTCTACTCTGGAATATTTCTTTATAAACTGTAAACCTTTTTACTTCCCCCGTGAGTTTGTTTCATTCATTCTGGTCGGTGTTTACATTCCACCGCAGGCCAATGTGCAGGACGCACAGCGCATGCTCGCCGACCAGATACTGTGTGTGGAGCAGACTAACCCGGACTCTTTAGTTATTGTCCTTGGTGACTTTAACAAAGGAAACCTCAGTCACGAACTTCCAAAATATAAACAGTTTATTAAATGCCCGACCAGAGAGAAGAATATACTGGATCATTGTTACACTACAGTCAGCGGAGCTTATCACGCCGTCCCCCGCGCCGCACTGGGCCTCTCCGACCATGTCATGGTCCACCTGATTCCCTCATACAGGCAGAAATTAAAGCTCTGCAAACCTGTTGTGAGGACATCAAAGCAGTGGACCAGTGAAGCTGTGGAGGATCTCCAGGCGTGTTTGGACTCTACTGACTGGGATGTGTTCAGGACTGCTACTAACAGTCTGGATGAGTACACAGAGGCTGTGACATCATATATCAGCTTCTGTGAGGACTGCTGTATACTATCACGCACCAGGGTGAGTTACAACAACGACAAACCTTGGTTCACAGCCAAACTCATTCAACTACGGTTGCAGAAGGAGCAAGCGTTCAGGAGTGGGGACAGGGACAAGTTTAAGGAGTCTAAGTACAAGTTTAGCAAGGCGGTGAGAGAAGCTAAACGTCAGTACTCTGAGAAACTTCAACATCAGTTCTCAGCCAATGACTCTGGTTCTGTCTGGAAGGGGCTCAGACAGATAACTAACTACAAGCCCAAAACCCCTCACTCCATCAATGATCTGCGCCTGGCAAACGAGCTGAATGAGTTCTACTGCCGCTTCGACAGACAAAGGAGCAGTCCTGACACCATCCCCCGTGACACCCCTCACCAGCCCCACCTCACCAGTCCCTCCCCCCAGCCCAGCAGGAGCTGGGGCCACTTCACAGCTTCACACCTCTGTGAATCCCTCCTCCTCCACCACAGTGACGACTCTCTGCCTCCAAGAGAGGGACGTCAACAGACTCTTCAAGAGGCAGAACCCCCGCAAAGCAGCCGGACCAGATTCTGTCTCTCCATCCACCCTGAAGCACTGTGCTGACCAGCTGTCTCCGGTGTTCACTGACATCTTCAACACCTCTTTGGAGACATGTCATGTGCCAGCCTGCTTCAAAGCATCCACCATCATCCCTGTCCCCAAGAAAGCAAGGACCACAGGACTAAATGACTACAGACCTGTTGCCCTCACCTCTGTGGTCATGGAGTCTTTTGAGCGCCTTGTGCTCTCCCATCTGAAAGCCATAACGGACCCTCTCCTGGACCCCCTGCAGTTTGCCTACAGAGCCAACAGGTCTGTAGACGATGCAGTAAACATGGCCCTGCACTTCACCCTCCAGCATCTGGACTCCCCAGGAACCTACGCCAGGATCCTGTTTGTTGACTTCAGCTCTGCGTTCAACACCATCATCCCTGCTCTGCTACAGGACAAGCTCTCCCAGCTCACTGTGCCTGACTCCACCTGCAGGTGGATCACAGACTTCCTGTCTGACAGGAAACAGCACGTGAAGCTGGGGGAAAATGTCTCTGACTCCCAGATCATCAGCACCGGATCCCCTCAGGGCTGCATTCTTTCTCCTCTGCTCTTCTCCCTGTATACTAACAGCTGCACCTCCACTCACCAGTCCGTCAGGCTCCTGAAGTTCGCGGATGACACCTCCCTCATTGGGCTCATCTCTGGTGGAGATGAGTCCGCCTACAGATGGGAGATTGACCATCTGGTGACCTGGTGCAGCCAGAACAACCTGGAGCTAAACGCTCTAAAAACAGTGGAGATGGTTGTAGACTTTAGGAAGAACCCAGCCCCACCCGCCCCCATCATCCTGTGTGACTCCCCAGTTGACTCTGTGGAGTCCTTCCGCTTTCTGGGTACCATTATCACCCAGGACCTCAAGTGTGAACATCAGCTCCCTCTCTAAGAAAGCCCAGCAGAGGATGTACTTCCTGCGGCAGCTGAAGAAGTTCAACCTGCCAAAGACGATGATGGTGCACTTCTACACTGCCATCATCGAGTCCATCCTCACCTCTTCTATCACCATCTGGTACGCTGTGGCCACTGCCAAGGACAAGGGCAGACTGCAGCGTATCATTCGATCAGCTGAGAAGGTGATTGGCTGCAATCTGCCATCCCTCCAGGACCTGTACGCCTCTAGGACCAGGAAGCGTGCAGGTAAGATTGTGGCTGACCCCTCCAACCCCAGTCACAATCTCTTTGAGATACTTCCCTCTGGCAGGAGGCTGCGGTCCATCAGGACTAAAACATCTCGCCATAAAAACAGTTTCTTCCTGTCGGCAGGTGGCCTCCTTAACAAGGCCCGGATTACCCACTGTCATTGACTCTTATACCCACCCTGTATATAAAGTATGCATTACATTAATGCACCCACGTTCTTCTGCACAGCTTTCTCTTTCTCTTCTTATCTTTATCTATTTATTTTTTGAAAGTACTTTATTTTTCTGTGTGATTTCTGTGTGATTTGAATTTGAATAATTGTATATTTGTATATTTGTATTTGTATATGTATATATTTTTATGCACCAACTGCACCAGGTCACATTCCTCGTAGGCATAAAAACCTACTTGGCAATAAACAAATTCTGATTCTGATTCTGATACTGTAGTAGTACTGTAGTAATAATACTGTAGTAGTACTGTAGTAATAATACTGTAGTAATAATACTGTAGTAGTACTGTAGTATTAATACTGTAGTAGTAATACTGTAGTAATGATACTGAAGTAGTACTGTAGTAATAATACTGTAGTAATGATACTGTAGTAGTACTGTAGTATTAATACTGTAGTAGTAATACTGTAGTAATGATACTGAAGTAGTATTGTAGTAATAATACTGTAGTAGTAATACTGTAGTAATAATACTGTAGTAATAATACTGTAGTAATGATACTGTAGTAGTAATACTGTAGTAATAATACTGTAGTAGTATTACTGTAGTAATGATACTGTAGTAGTAATACTGTAGTAATAATACTGTAGTAATGATACTGTAGTAGTATTGTAGTAATACTGTAGTAATAGTACTGTAGTAATACTGTAGTAATGGTACTGTAGTAATAATACTGTAGTAGTACTGTAGTAATAATACTGTAGTAATGATACTGAAGTAGTACTGTAGTAGTAATACTGTAGTAATGATACTGTAGTAGTAATACTGTAGTTATAATACTGTAGTAGTAATACTGTAGTTATAATAATGTAGTTATAGTACTGTAGTTATAGTACTGTAGTAATATTACTGTAGTAATAGTACTGTAGACGTACTGTAGTAATAATACTGTAGTAATAGTACTGTAGAAGTACTGTAGTAATAATACTGTAGTAGTAATACTGTAGTTATATTACTGAAATTATAATACTGTAGTTATAGTACTGTAGTTATAATACTGTAGTAATAGTACTGTAGTAGTAGTAATACTGTAGTGATAGTACTGTAGTATAATACTGTAGTAATACTGTAGTTATATTATTGAAGTTATAATACTGTAGTAATACTGTAGTTATAATACTGTAGTTATATTATTGAAGTTATAATACTGTAGAAATACTGTAGTAATAATACTGTAGTTATATTATTGAAGTTATAATACTGTAGTAATACTGTAGTTATATTATTGAAGTTATAATACTGTAGTAATACTGTAGTCATAATACTGTAGTTATATTATTGAAGTTATAATACTGTAGTAATACTGTAGTTATATTATTGAAGTTATAATACTGTTGTAATACTGTAGTTATAATACTGTAGTTATATTATTGTAGTTGTAATACTGTAGTAATACTGTCAGATCGGTCCAATGGTTGGGTTCTCAGACTAACTGTACGTTCAATATCAGGAGCAGCTGAAATATAAAAATCTGAATCATCAGATTTACAGAAGAATGTAGTTTAATGTTGTATTTGTGTCCAATTCAATCAGACACTGTGATGTCACACCAGACCTCTGTACAATCCACTCGTCAATCATCATCATCATCATCATCATCATGCTGTGACGTCACTATATGACACAGAACCAGAGGGAACACTCATATTTACAGAGCTCTTAAACGCATCATGAAAACTCATTCCCCATTAAATCTATAGGCCCTGCTAGCACTGTTAGCATTCCCCATTAAATCTATAGGCCCTGCTAGCACTGTTAGCATTCCCATTATATCTATAGGCCCTGCTAGCACTGTTAGCATTCCCCATTAAATCAATAAGCCCTGCTAACATTCTTCAGATAAACCAATGGGTTTTGAATGCAATGTTATGGGTGCTGCTAACATTGTTAGCATCTACGAGCAGTGTTAGCATCTTCTATTAAAACCCCCCAAAACCTATGGAACCCATCAATGTAAATTGCTAACAATGTTAGCATTCTTCAGTGAAATGATCACGTTCAATCCCAATTCAAATGAATGAGCCATGCTAATATTAGCATGCTCCATTTACATCAGTAGTTCCTAGCAATGTTAGCGTGCTAACAGTATTAACGTTTCTTATTCAAATCAATGAGCCCTGCTAGCAATGCTAACATTCTACACTGAAATCAATGGACTCTCTTCAGTAGAAGAGTCAGTCAGGTTGTTTTAACTTTGGTATACAAAGGTCATATAAAGGTCAGCTGTTTACACAAAGGTCATATAAAGGTCAGCTGTTTACACAAAGGTCATATAAAGGTCAGCTGTTTACACAAAGGTCATATAAAGGTCAGCTGTTTACACAAAGGTCATATAAAGGTCAGCTGTTTACACAAAGGTCATATAAAGGTCAGCTGTTTATACAAAGGTCATATAAAGGTCAGCTGTTTACACAAAGGTCATATAAGGTCAGCTGTTTATACAAGGTCATATAAAGGTCAGCTGTTTACACAAAGGTCATATAAAGGTCAGCTGTTTATACAAGGTCATATAAAGGTCAGCTGTTTATACAAAGGTCATATAAAGGTCAGCTGTTTACACAAAGGTCATATAAAGGTCAGCTGTTTACACAAAGGTCATATAAAGGTCAGCTGTTTACACAAAGGTCATATAAAGGTCAGCTGTTTACACAAAGGTTGTACGCAGGTTGTAAACCAGAATATGAATGGGTCATATGAAGGTCATTAACAGGTCATATGAAGGTCATTAACAGGTCATATGAAGTTATTAACAGGTCATATGAAGGTCATTAACAGGTCATATGAAGGTCATTAACAGGTCATATGAAGTTATTAACAGGTCATATGAAGGTCATTAACAGGTCATATGAAGGTCATTAACAGGTCATATGAAGGTCATTAACAGGTCATATGAAGGTCATTAACAGGTCATATGAAGTTATTAACAGGTCATATGAAGGTCATTAACAGGTCATATGAAGTTATTAACAGGTCATATGAAGGTCATTAACAGGTCATATGAAGTTATTAACAGGTCATATGAAGGTCATTAACAGGTCATATGAAGTTATTAACAGGTCATATGAAGGTCATTAACAGGTCATAGGAAGGTCATTAACAGGTCATATGAAGGTCATTAACAGGTCATATGAAGGTCATTAACAGGTCATATGAAGGTCATTAACAGGTCATATGAAGGTCATTAACAGGTCATATGAAGGTCATTAACAGGTCATATGAAGGTCATTAACAGGTCATAGGAAGGTCATTAACAGGTCATATGAAGTTATTAACAGGTCATATGAAGGTCATTAACAGGTCATATGAAGGTCATTAACAGGTCATATGAAGGTCATTAACAGGTCATATGAAGTTATTAACAGGTCATATGAAGGTCATTAACAGGTCATATGAAGGTCATTAACAGGTCATATGATGGTTATTTACAGGTCATATGAAGGTCATTAACAGGTCATATGAAGGTCATTAACAGGTCATATGAAGGTTATTAACAGGTCATATGAAGGTCATTAACAGGTCATATGAAGGTCATTAACAGGTCATATGAAGGTCATTAACAGGTCATATGAAGGTCATTAACAGGTCATATGAAGGTTATTAACAGGTCATATGAAGGTTATTAACAGGTCATATGAAGGTCATTAACAGGTCATATGAAGGTTATTAACAGGTCATATGAAGGTCATTAACAGGTCATATGAAGGTCATTAACAGGTCATATGAAGTTATTAACAGGTCATATGAAGGTCATTAACAGGTCATATGAAGGTCATTAACAGGTCATATGAAGGTTATTAACAGGTCATATGAAGGTCATTAACAGGTCATATGAAGGTCATTAACAGGTCATATGAAGTTATTAACAGGTCATATGAAGGTAATTAACAGGTCATATGAAGGTGAGGTGCTGGTCTTCATTGAGGCCGTAGGTTTGTTTGTGCTGTTCAAACAGTTCATGCAGACTCTGCAGGTAAACTTTATGAAGGCACTCAATGTCCTCATTGCTAGGACTGGGAGTCTGGACGACCAAGATAGGCTTCCCCACTGAAAACACAGAGAGAGAGAGAGAGAGAGAGAGAGAGAGAGAGAGAGAGAGAGAGAGGATTAGCTCAGACGCTAACTGCTGCTAACACCACAACATCTCCTTAAACACATTACTGATATCCTCCTTTCCCTCCTCAACAATAGATTAACACTAGTTTAACATTAAAATAAGTTTAACTGCTAATGTTAAATTAACATTACTTTAAGGTCACGGTCATACCGACGGTGTGGATGGGCTTCCTGTAGGGCATCAGTCCGAAGCTGTACTGGAAAACTCCTCTGGCATGAAACAGAGGCATTGCTACTCCCATGATGCTCTGCAACCGGTTCTGTGGACACAGGACAACATACATCAGCAATCCTCATTAAGTTCAAAAAGAGCAGCAGTGCTAAAGTGAAAAACAATTACTAAGTGTTTTAAATGTGCCAATGTTAGCTTATAAGCTAACTGAACTCACCTTCCCTCAGTTTGGGTTATCTATCTGAGGTGGTGAGGCAATTCTGTTGACTTGTTGCTGAGGCTATGATTCTTAGTGGTTGCTAGGGTATTGTGTTGGTTGTAAGATGTTATAAAGGGGATGCTAAGTGGTTGTTTGACCATTACTTCATGGTAGCGAAGCTGTTGCTAGTAGGTTGCTAGAGCACTATTACATAATTACTAATCTGTTGCTAAGATGCTACATTATCTTCCAGATGGTTGCTAAGTCTTTTTCTACATTAAAACAAAGTTGTTGTCAATTGTTGCTCATTTGTTGCTTGGTGGTTGCTCAGATGTTGGTAGGTGGTTGCTTGGGAACTATTATGCTAAGTTGACAGGTTGGTGCTACGGAACATTAAATGGTTGACAGGTTGGTGCTACGGAACATTAAATGGTTGACAGGTTGGTGCTAGGGAACATTAAATGGTTGACAGGTTGGTGCTACGGAACATTAAATGGTTGACAGGTTGGTGCAAGGGAACATTAAATGGGTGCTAGTTTGTTGTTAAGGAACATTAAATGGTTGACAGGTTGGTGCTAGGAACATTAAATGGGTGCTAGTTTGTTGTTAAGGAACATTAAATGGTTGCCAGGCTGACAACAATGAGAAATCTGGTCTCAGATATCGAGAACCCAGCTGTGACATTGAGCATCGTCTGTCTGTCCATCAATGTCCTCAGATCTGGTCGATTTCTAGTTGAGATGTCTTTATATTTTTGTAATCTCAGTTTTCATTGTGTTGTTGGTTTATTTTATGTTTTATTATTTTATTAATGAATATATTGGTGAGTGTGGAAGTACCTGCAGTGTCCTCAGAGGAGAGCCAGTGGGATTCTCCATCTGATCAAACAACTCGTTTTCTCCAAAAGAAAAGACAGGAACCAGCTGAGCTCTGCACACGCACACACACACACACACACACAGTCAGAGTACTGGCTGTAGCCCCACCAATCTGACCCCGCCCCCTCCATAAGCCCCACCCACCCATGTTTGAGAGCCAGCTTGATGAAGCCCTTCCTGTTCAGGACCTGAAGGAGAAATAAATATGTTTAGTCCACATTAAAAGAAAGCTTTTTATTAGATTTATTTTAAGGATACAGTAAAGTGTTAATGGGCAGCTCAGGTTCACTACAGTAAAGTGTCAATGGCAGCTCAGGTTCACTACAGTAAAGTGTCGATGGCAGCTCAGGTTCACTACAGTAAAGTGTAAATGGCAGCTCAGGTTCACTACAGTAAAGTGTAAATGGCAGCTCAGGTTCACTACAGTAAAGTGTCAATGGGCAGCTCAGGTTCACTACAGTAAAGTGTTAATGGGCAGCTCAGGTTCACTACAGTAAGTGTCAATGGGCAGCTCAGGTTCACTACAGTAAAGTGTTAATGGGCAGCTCAGGTTCACTACAGTAAAGTGTTAATGGGCAGCTCAGGTTCACTACAGTAAAGTGTCAATGGGCAGCTCAGGTTCACTACAGTAAAGTGTTAATGGGCAGCTCAGGTTCACTACAGTAAAGTGTTGATGGCAGCTCGGTTCTACAGTAAAGTGTTAATGGGCAGCTCAGGTTCACTACAGTAAAGTGTCAATGGCAGCTCAGGTTCACTACAGTAAAGTGTCAATGGGCAGCTCAGGTTCACTACAGTAAAGTGTCAATGGGCAGCTCAGGTTCACTACAGTAAAGTGTCAATGGGCAACTCAGGTTCACTACAGTAAAGTGTTGATGGCAGCTCAGGTTCACTACAGTAAAGTGTCGATGGCAGCTCAGGTTCACTACAGTAAAGTGTCAATGGGCAGCTCAGGTTCACTACAGTAAAGTGTTAATGGGCAGCTCAGGTTCACTACAGTAAAGTGTTGATGGGCAGCTCAGGTTCACCACAGTAAAGTGTTGATGGCAGCTCAGGTTCACTACTCTGGTTAAAGTTAATAATGACCTTCTGATTGCTTCTGACAATGGACTTGTCTCTGTACACCATTGACCATGATATTCTTTTACAGAGACTTGAGCATCAAATTGGCATTAAAGGAACCGCACTAAGCTGGTTTAAGTCATATTTATCAGATCGCTCGCAGTTTGTACATGTTAACGATGAATCTTCAATAAATACTACAGTTAGTCATGGAGTTCCACAAGGTTCTGTACTTGGACCAATACTATTTACTTTATATATGCTCCCTTTATGCAACATTATTAGGAATCACTCCATTAACTTTCACTGTTATGCAGATGATACGCAGTTATATCTATCAATCAAGCCCGAAGAAATTAATCAATTATCTAAAAAACGAAATTCTTGTTCTTGGCCCCAAAAACCTTAGAGACTCATTGTCTAAAGATATAGTTACTCTAGATGGCATTAACTTGGCCTCTAGCACCACTGTCAGGAATCTTGGAGTTATCTTTGATCAGGATTTGTCATTTAACTCCCACATAAAGCAGACCTCTAGGACCGCCTTCTTTCATTTACATAATATTATAAAAATTAGACACATACTATCACAGACAGATGCAGAAAAACTAATCCATGCATTTGTTACTTCAAGGCTGGATTACTGCAACTCTTTATTATCAGGTTGCCCCAATAAGTCCATTAAAACGCTCCAATTAATTCAGAACGCTGCAGCAAGAGTACTGACAGGAACTAGAAAAAGAGATCACATCTCTCCTGTACTAGCTTCTCTGCATTGGCTCCCTGTAAAATGTAGAATTGAATTTAAAATCCTCCTCCTCACCTATAAAGCTCTTCATGGTCAGGCCCCTTCATATCTTAAAGAGCTCATAGTACCCTATTACCCCTCTAGAACACTACGTTCTCTGAATGCTGGGCTACTTGTGGTTCCTATAGTCTCTAAAAGTAGAACAGGAGCCAGAGCCTTCAGTTACCAAGCTCCTCTCCTGTGGAACCAGCTTCCAGTTGTGGTTCGGGAGGCAGACACCCTCACCACATTCAAGAGTAGGCTTAAGACATTCCTCTTTGATAAAGCTTATAGTTAGGGCTGGATCAGGTGAGTCCTGAACCATCCCTTAGTTATGCTGCTATAGGCCTAGACTATCGGGGGATTTCCCATGATACACTGAGCTGCTCTCTTCCTCTCTCTTTCTGCACTCATTCATGTCCCATTAATGCATGTTACTAACTTTACTTCTTCCCCGGAGTTCTTGTGCTTTCTCGTCTCGCAGGTTCTCATGGATCCTGGTGGAGCCTCCTGCCGTGGTCCTGCTAGACTGCCATTACCAATTCTGTTGTTGCTGTGCACCTGCCTGTCTGTCTGTCTGTCTGTCTGTCTGTCTTTCTGTCTGTCTCTCGCTCTCTCTCTCTCTCACCCCAACTGATCGAGACAGACGACCACCCACCTAGAGCCGGAGGATCTGTCCTAGGTTTCTGCCTTTTAACAGGCAGTGTTTCCTTGCCCTTGTCTCCAAGGTCTTGCTCATGGTGGTACTGTTGGGTCTCTGTAATTAATGTTATAAAGAGTTCGGTCTAGACCTGCTCTATTTGAAAAGTGTCCTGAGATAACTTCTGTTATGAATTGGCGCTATACAAATAAAACTGAACTACAGTAACGTGTTGATGGGCAGATAAGGTTCACTACAGTAAAGTGTTGATCACTGTTCTCTGTACAGTCAGTATATATACTGTACATGTATCAGAATATGTAAACAGGAAGTCACTGCAGAATCACAAGCTAGAATAACATCTAAAATAACTGTGTGCATATATGAATAATCTGTGTTTCAGAGTACCCATACAGTTCATAATGAGAACTATCAGATTGTGACACTATTTACTCATTTAGTCAAATGTTATTAGCACAATGTTTGGTAATTTGAGGTATTTTAGGGTCCAGATATTAGCATACTAGCGTTAGCTTTGTAACTATTCAGTAAGAACTAATCTCTAACAGTGACCTGTGACCTAAAGCCTGACCTGCTGAATGTTTCCACACAGAAAGTCTCACTGAGTCTCTGAGGAATTAAAGAATTGCTATTGGGGAACTTTATTTCTCTGACTCACGCAACACAACGCTGTCTGTCTGTCTGTCTGTCTGTCTGTCTGTGTGCTTACAACACAATGACAGATATTTCTTAATAAGTCAGAGTTGAAATACAATGACTGTCCCAACTGTCCTAACTGTCCCCGACTGATTGGACAGACTGTTGGTTGATTGGCTGTTTCCTGTTTACAGTTATAGAAATACATTGATTATTATAAACACCGACTTCATTAAAATGTACCTGCAGTGTTAAAGCTCCCGGTCGGGCGTCCAGAGCCTCTGGAGCTCCACCCACAGCAATGACAGAGATGTTACCTCCTTGAGGGCGACTGACCAGGTACGACAGGCTGGACTTCGAGCTGGACACCAGGCCTGGCAGACAGACAGTATCGTTTCGTGAGGTTCTTGCCAATACTCACCCCTAGGTCAGAGTGAACTAATCGATCGCTACAGCTCTGACAGCTGAACCCAGGAGACTCTACTCCAACAGCCAATCAGAGAGCAGCGTTCTGCTTCCTCCTGCACTGACCTGTGAAACTGTTTACTCAGAGCTGATTGAGAAACCCCTTCCAGTGTAAAGTCTGTACAGAATACACTGTATCTGTATGGATGATATTGATCAGTATACACTGTATCTTTATGGATTATTGATCAGTATACACTATCTTTATGGATTATTGATCAGTATACACTGTATCTTTATGGATGATATTGATCAGTATACACTGTATCTTTATGGATGATATTGATCAGTATACACTGTATCTTTATGGATTATTGATCAGTATACACTGTATCTTTATGGATGATATTGATCAGTATACACTGTATCTTTATGGATGATATTGATCAGTATACACTGTATCTTTATGGATGATATTGATCAGTATACACTGTATCTTTATGGATGATATTGATCCTGTATTGACAGTCAGACTGTGGACATATGACGGCCTTTAGCTCGTGTTTCTAGAGTTACGTGTTGTTACGAACACGTTAGGAATTGTTAAAATGTGATATTTCTTAAAGGGAGTTTGGTGCAGGGAGCTTCATCCATCAGCTTACTGTTAGACACACAGACAGACAGACAGACAGACAGACAGGTGGGTACCTCCACACATGATGTAGTCTCTGAAGAGCGGGACTCTGAACCAGAAGGGCAGCATCAGCAGATGAGACTTCAGTCCTGGAAACAGACGAGAGAAACCTGTCGCCTCCGTACAGAAGTTCCCAAACCCCCCCGCTACCAGCACACCTGAGAGACAGACAGGTAGGCAGAGACACAGATGGACAGACAGTCACTGAGAAATACATCTGCCTACATGGCCAAAAGTATGTGGACACCTGAACATCACATGACTGACAGGTAGACATGCAGGCAGACAGACAGACAGGTGTGTCTCACCATGTGGATGAAATCCGAAGATGTAGTTTTTCTTTGGATCAAGATCGACTGTTTTAACCAGCTGGAGACACAGATCAATAATCAATAATCCCTCATCAGTAATCGATAATCCGACTGATTGATCAGATCAATAAAGCTGACCTCACCGTTATAGGGAAGTAGTCCCTGAAGTAGTCCCAGATGGTCCAGCTCCTGACCCACTGAGACCTCCGACCCCCGCTGCTGGGCGTGTCCCAGTCCAACCACAGCCAACCAGCATAGAGTAGAGCCAGAGTCCACCAATCAGAGAGAGCCAGCAGGACGAAGGCAGCCAGACAGCACTGAGCTGACAGACAGGTGGCAGACAGACAGGTTACTGACAGTACTAAGCAGCAGACAGGTGGTAGACAGACAGCAATAAGCTGACAGACAGGTGGCAGACAGACAGGTTACTGACAGACAGCACTGAGCTGACAGACAGGTGATAGACAGACAGGTTACTGACAGTACTGTGCAGGCAGACAGACAGCTTACTGACAGACAGCACTGAGCTGACAGACAGGTGGTAGACAGACAGGTTACTGACAGTACTGTGCAGGCAGACAGACAGGTTACTGACAGACAGCACTGAGCTGACAGACAGGTGGCAGACAGACAGGTTACTGACAGACAGACAGACAGCACTGAGCTGACAGACAGGCGGCAGACATACAGGTTACAGACAGTACTGAGCAGGCAGACAGATGGTAGGTAGACAGACAGGTTACAGACCCCCCCGCTCCTGCAGACAGGTAACAGACAGACAGTTAACTGACACACAGAAGCAGACAGACAGGCGGTCAGACAGACAGGTGTCTGTTACCCAGGGCCAGGAAGGAGAAGACCCACTGCAGCGTCGCGGCGGTCTGCAGTCTCCTTCGCAGCGGGATGTTCAGCGGGGCGAACTCGATCTTCATGCCGGCGGTCGCGCTCCTTGGCCCGGCTCGGAGCGCTGCGACCTCCCGGTGTCTTCGCCTGGGTGTCGGAGCTTCTTTGCTGCTTCTGTTTCTGTCTGTCTCTCTCTCAGTTCCGTCTGTCTCCCTGTCCGTCTCTCTGGCTGTTAGTCTGTGTGTTGATGAGTTTTAAATGTTTTTGTGAGTTAAATATAAACTTTAATAAAATCTGTCCTTAGTCTTTCTCAACTTTCCTCAAAGTACACACGCTCCCACTCACGGCTCTACTGCGCATGCGTACTGGATCCGCCCTCCTGGGTGTACTCATCTCGACCAATCAGCGCCGATGATGAAACAGGTCGGGAGCGAGCCCGGAGTCAGGCGCGTTCACGAGCAGGTTTAAATCAATGTCCATTAAAACGCTCCAATTAATTCAGAACGCTGCAGCACGAGTACTGACAGGAACTAGAAAAAGAGATCACATCTCTCCTGTACTAGCTTCTCTGCATTGGCTCCCTATAAAATGTAGAATTGAATTTAAAATCCTCCTCCTCACCTATAAAGCTCTTCATGGTCAGGCCCCTTCATATCTTAAAGAGCTCATAGTACCCTATTACCCCTCTAGAACACTACGTTCTCTGAATGCTGGGCTACTTGTGGTTCCTATAGTCTCTAAAAAAGTAGAACAGGAGCCAGAGCCTTCAGTTACCAAGCTCCTCTCCTGTGGAACCAGCTTCCAGTTGTGGTTCTGGAGGCAGACACCCTCACCACATTCAAGAGTAGGCTTAAGACATTCCTCTTTGATAAAGCTTATAGTTAGGGCTGGATCAGGTGAGTCCTGAACCATCCCTTAGTTATGCTGCTATAGGCCTAGACTATCGGGGGATTTCCCATGGTGCACTGAGCTCCTCTCTTCCTCTCTCTTTCTGCACTCATTCATGTCCCATTAATGCATGTTACTAACTTCACTTCTTCCCCGGAGTTCTTGTGCTTTCTCGTCTCGCAGGTTCTCATGGATCCTGGTGGAGCCTCCTGCCATGGTCCTGCTAGATTGCCATTGCCAATACTGTTGTTGCTGTGGACCTGTCTGTCTGTCTGTCTGTCTCTCTCTCTCTCTGCCTCTCTCTCTCTCTCTCTCTCTCTCTCTCTCTCTCTCAGTTCAGTTTCGCTCAGTTTCTGTTGCTTCCGGTGCGCTGCCATGGTGACACCTGATATGTTGAGTGTTATCACAAGCAGAGTTTAACCCTTTAATAACCTAATTAGATTAACAATATCAACAATATAAAAACAATGTTACTGCCAGTCTGTTTGTTTCTATATATTATATGCTATATATCACACTGTATAATATATAAAATATATCATATTATATGATTTATATTGATATATATGTTATGTATGTTTACATGGATAAAGAGTATATTGCTTTCCTCTGTGCACACAGTCGCTCTTGATGCAGACAGTTTGTCTTTTAGAGAGTCTTTGTAATCTTTGAAATCCTCCTTAAAATGAGGGTTTATAATCAGGCTATTACATGAATTTACATAATATTTCATAATTCATCATAACTAGTATCCTTGTGATTTATTTTATTTAACATTTTGTTTTAATCGTTTATTTTATTTTATTTTAGAACACACTCCTATGTTTTATATATATATATATATATATTTGGCTTTTATTGCCTTTATTTGATAGGACAGTTGAAGACAGACAGGAAAGGGGGGCAGAGAGAGAGGATGATACGCAGCAAAGGGCTGCAGGTCGGATTCGAACCCTGGGCTGCTGCAGCAAGGACTCAGCCTCGGTACATGGGTTGCCAGCTCTACCCACTGAGCTAACCGGGCACCCCATGTTTTATATTTTTTAAGTTTTTTTTAATAGTATGTATGGTTGTGTTTATGGTTGTTTATTCATATATCAATCTTCATGTCTGCTGTTTGTGTGTATTAAAGAACTTTTTTTTAAGTGCCATACAAATGAAGTTATTATTATCATTATTATTAGTAGTAGTATTAGTAGTAGTAGTACTAGTAGTAGTAGGAATGCATAATCTGAGTCTATTTGCTGTCAGTCTCTTATGTAGAGAACAACGTCTGTGTCCTCTGGATCAATAGTCCCTAACGAGCTGTAAAGAAACATGTTGTGTCTGTGAGAGAAGTGCAGTACCGCCCTAAGTCCTCTAGGGGGAGCTACTGTACCCTGAATACACAGTGTAGACAAATGTGTTTATAAGGAGTAGGTGTCCTGAGACAACTTCTGTCATGAATTGAAACTATAACAATAAAACTGAATTGAACAACATTTCGCTGTTTTACACAACAATTAATAAAGTTATCAAACTTTATTATTGATTCAGGATGAAACTGAACCTCAAACTGTGAACTATTATGATTATTATTATAACTGTAAAGGAAAGAATATTTAAAATAAACCATGAACAACAACAAGAGTTGTCTTGTTTACAGTCATTTTATTCCAGCAGAGAAGAATTCATCACAAACATTCAATAATAAAACATTAATAACAATAAAACAATAAGTGATCAATAACAGAACAACATGCAGAGACCCAGAGTGCCAGAAGACGGACTGATGAAGGCTTGTCTGATGTGACTCTAAAGGAGGCAGGTGCATCATGGGAAATGCAGAATTCAGAGGGCTGCTGTCAGACTGTTACTGATTCGTTCATTAGGATTCATTATTGATGAAATATTAATTATCACTTATCACTATTCATTATTTTATAATTAAGTCATTTGAATTAAATGATCTAAACCAGGTCGAGTCCAAATATTTTCAAAATAAAATAGACTTATTTTGTAACAGCGGTGAAGGATCAGGTTTCCCTGCTGGTCTGACCTTGCAGATTCTGGTTCCTCTGGGATCGGGTGCTGGACTCAGAGTCAGCTCTGATCCAGCATCCGGAGTCAGACCGGAGTACCTGGTCTGAATGTCATTGATCAAGAGTCCTGAATCTCTGCCATTTATTGATCATCAACTGATCGATTACAACATCAGAAACCAACCTTCTGCCACTCCACAGGAAGTGATGTCATAGCATGTTGTTCTGTTACGCACAGATGAGCTCAAATCTGATTGGCTGACAGGGGAACGCATCACAATATGGACCAATAATCTAGAGTGTGTTGAAAATCTCATACTAACGTACTGCATGTACTGCCTACTGCATGTACTGAGTACTGCATGTGTGATCACAATCCATGCTGGGTAGCTTTGTGTCCGACCCACCCGGCCTCTGATTGGCTCGTGGGATAATCTAGTTTAACTGTGAGTAAACAGCCGAAAGAGAATTAGTGTGTTCTGGTCCGGGGTTGTGCTGAATTACACTGAATCCAGAACATTGTCTTAAACAGGCTCAATCATCTCCAGTAACCGCAGCGGAGACAGAACCCATCACAAAGCCGTGCCTAGTTGGATTCGGGGTTTGGGGTTTGGGGCAGGGTTGTGCTGAATTAGAGTAGTGTCACCTATTTTGGGCCAGATTAGGCACTGATTTTAATATTTAACTTGCTGTGCAATGAAGGTTCAAGCTGCTAACAAACAGATGCTGTGTGCTTGATAATAACAATAAAGTTTATTTATGCCTCTCTTTCACCCCAATTGGTCGAGGCAAATGACCACCCACCTAGAGCCGGGTCTGTCCGAGGTTTCTGCCTCTTAAAATGAAGTTTTTCCTTGCCGCTATCGCCAAGGTCTTGCTCATGGTGGTAATTATTGGGTCTCTGTAAATAATGTTATAAGGAGTTCTGCTCTATTTGAAAAGTTAGAAAAAATTGAATTGAATGTCCAAACATGGTTTAAAACTACAGACAGACTACAGATGGTCAGACATGAAGGACACACAGGGTGACCTCCTGTTTTAAGGCTGATGGAAACTCCTCCTCCTGGAGGTTCCTCTCGCACTCCTTAAGGGCAGAAGTGAAGTAAAGACTAATGTTTGTGGTCCGATGAACAGAAGAATAAAGAATGAAGGTAAATATTAATATCACAGATGGAGTGGGCAGTATTAGCAGCTACTGGAGGCCACTGACTGGTTTGCTAGTTTGGGTTCGGGTCTGAATTAAGTTCAGTAAACTGCACTCACGTGTGTTTATATAATAATATCAACATATTTACTATAAACAGTACGTTAGTGTGAGATTATGAACAGACTACCTTCAACTACACCTGGACTACACCTGAACTGAACCTGGACTACACCTGGTCTACACATGGACTGAACCTGGTCTACACCTGGTCTACACCTGAACTGAACCTGAACTGAACCTGGACTACACCTGAACTGAACCTGGACTACACCTGAACTACACCTGAACTGAACCTGGACTACACCTGGTCTACACCTGAACTGAACCTGAACTGAACCTGGACTACACCTAGACTACACCTGCTCTACACCTGAACTGAACCTGAACTGAACCTGGTCTACACCTAGACTACACCTGAACTGAACCCTGGGTGAACCTGGTCTACAACTGTACTGAACCTGGTCTACACCTGGACCAAACTTGAACTGAACCTGGTCTACACCTGGTCTACACCTGAACTGAACCTGAACTGAACCTGGACTACACCTAGACTACACCTGCTCTACACCTGAACTGAACCTGAACTGAACCTGGTCTACACCTAGACTACACCTGAACTGAACCTGGGGTGAACCTGGTCTACAACTGTACTGAACCTGGTCTACACCTAGACCAAACCTGTACTGAACCTTGTCTACACCTGGACTGAACCCTGGACTGAACCCTGGACTGAGCCTGTCCTTTGCCTAGGCTGAACCTGTGATATATCTTGAATGAACTTAAACTAGTCTGTTACTGGACTAGACTGATCCTGGACTCAAACTGGACAACATGTAGACTATACACACACCAGGACTGGTCAGCACCAGGACGGCACTAGACAGACAGAGTCCCGCTGCCACACTTGGTGGTTTTCTTTGGAGCTGAATCAGGTCTGATAGCTCCCTTGGGCTGCAGTTTTCCCAACAGCATCAATGTTGGATTAGATCCACTTCAGTTACAGGGGATCCAGACCTGAGGAGGAGACAACAAGGTGTGTCAGGTGGGAGGGGTTTGTTGTCAGATGGGCAGGGTTTGTTGTCAGGTGGAAGGAGTTACCTTTAAGTTTACGTTGGCGGTTTCGGCAGGACAACAGGGTGAGAAGCAAACTGAACATCAGAATCAGGAACAAAGAAAGACTTCTGCAGAAACAAAAACATCAGAATAATAGTTATTATTATTATGGCCCCGGGTTATGAAAATCTGGAACAGAGTAAACATCTGGACTCAAACTCGACTACACTTGGATGGACATGGGGCTGGTTTCAGCTCGACTCGTCTGGCTGACGGTGTTTCTGCCACTAAGCTCGCCTGTGGCGGGTTTTAATTGCACCGGTGTAAACCGGCAGGTTTCAGAATGTTTCCTGCAAGTTTCAACTCGTCTTGTTGTGAATCTTTGATCTGAACTGGGCTTAAGATTTCAGGTTTCATACTGTTTGATTTACAATTCTGTTTGAATCACAGCAGACTGATCTGCCAAAGTTTGTGTGTGACATTTCATCTCCATTTAGCTCTTTAACTTAAACTACCTTCAGTATTTGCATTTTGAGTACAACAACAGGTT